CACAAACCTATGCTAATAAAAAAGCGGAAAATGTTAATATAAAACATTAACTACATCATACATATTAAAAAACAGCTGGGCATGGTGGCGCACATCCGCAGTCTCAGCTGCTTGGGAGGCAAGGTGGGAGAATCACCTGCACTCAGGAGTTCCGGACTGCAGTGCACTATGCCCATCAGGTGTCTGCAACAACTCTGGGACCATCGAGGGTAGGGGGGACACGATGTTGCCTAAGGAAGGGCGAACTAGGCAAGGCCAGAAACAGAGCAGGTCAAAAAACTGCAACATCCAAGACAGACTACCATTTCTAATTAAAGCAATGCCTGATTTATCAATACCACAGAAGCGTTCCTCTAGGCACACTTTCCTGGATCAAAGGTTTCCAAATTTGCTCCTGTGAAGACACGTGGGTATTCCTGGAAGCACAGAACACTCTGTAGAACACCATAAAATACTGATAAAAATTTCATCACATGACTTAGAAACAATCTAAATAGGGGGGCAAAGACTGTATTATATATACACATAATATAACAACCACAACTAGAAGCACTTGTTTAGACATTTTTTATTACCTGTTGAACTAAGGTGATAAATATTTCCATCAATTCCTAGTTATTTGCTTAATCATTTGCTCATCAGCTAGTGCTCACCAGTGCTTAAGGAGTAGCAATTGCCACAAAAAATAAATTACGGAAGCAAAATTTTAAATGGAGATAATGTGGCCTATTATCTTTAGTGTACACTTTCAGGGCAGAGAAAAGAATTAAAGAATAGGAAAATCAACATTATTTCAAATATTATTCTAGGGCTCACATCACACCAAGTAGCCCAGGTGCTTTAATTTTAATTCAAACAACGAATACATAAAGAAAATGAGATTTCAGGACAGTAAGGAGTGTACCTAAGATCACCAACTGCAAATGACTAGAACCAAAAATCAATCTTCTTTCCCTAACAGCAATACTGCCTCCCTCAAGTAAATACAACGAACCTGACAGCAATGGTTTTCAACCCAGGCTGTATATTACATACAGTCTCTCTGAGAAGAAGCCCTACTCTCTGTACAGTATTTGTTAAAGATGCTCAAAATGACTTAGATAGATAATGACTAAAAATCAATTCTTTAAGTCAACCTTAACAAATTATTACTGTAATAAAAGTTTTAGTAAAATATACAGACCTGTTTACCACTACAGAAATTGTCTGTAGAAATTCAGTCACACCAAGTCTATTTTTAATACATTCCCTCTCCCTTGCCTCCTTCAAGGTGCCAAGTATTACTGATTATTGTCACCTGTGTGCCTTCATCCACCTTCCAGCATTCTAATTCACTGTTACCTGCTGTGCTGTGAGATGACACAGAACCATACTAATTAAAACTGTGTGTAAAAGAAAGGCAAGAAGGTTTTATGTGAGAGCCTTTTATCAGTAAAGTACATGAACTTTTAGGACATGAAGTGAGTGATAGCAAATTTAATTACTCACAGGCCTCTTCTGATTACTTTCTGAGTCAGAATTTTGTTCCTGATTCTTGTAATTCCTGATTCTTTGCTCCGGACTCTACACAGCTATACATAAGCTGTTGTATAACTAGGAAATAATTATTCCTTCAAGTCTGCCTGCCTTCCTAGAGTACGAACTTTGAGTTCAGGAGCCACGTTTTATTCATCTTTGTACCTAGTGCCTAATACAATGCCATGTGCGCGGCAAGCTCTCAGCAAATGTTTGCTTCCTAAAAGACTCCTGATGGCTGCCGAAAGTTTAATAAGCTTTATTAAGCAAGGAGCTCTAGTCTACATGGCTGCTCAACCAAATATTGTCACAGTGGAACAATCTGTGTGTTCCGAAGCTCTCTGGCAACTTGTTTCAGTTAATCTGACCTACCAAGTACACACTGGATCTGGTCACTTGGGGTACACCACTGTAAGAACTGTTGGACCAGGGCTGGGGAGGTAGCGTGGTAATAGAGTACTTGCCTGCTTACCATGCATGACGCCTTAGGTTCAAGCCTCAGTATCACTGCCTCCCCGCAAAAAGAACTGTGAGACAATTCTGTCGCACATATTGTCCAAATGCTTTTACTTTTCTCCATCCACATTGGTGCAGCTCAAGTTTAGTCATCATCATCCCAACTTGCTTCTTTTTTACACACATCTCCCTGCTTCTTTTTTTATTCTCCTCCACTGCATTTTCCACAATACCAACCAAGACAACTTTTTAAAAAAATCAAGTCAGATCATATTATACTTCAAAACCTTTCAAAGTCTCTCCTCTGCCCTTCGGATGCTATTTAACTCCCTCAAATGACTTAACAAGATTCAAACTGATCTACCACTCCAGCTTACTATTCGCTCTCCAATAGCTCTTTAGCCATATTTATGAACCTATACGTGATTCATAACTAGACCATGCTGTCTTCCAGTGAGAAACTGTGCTCAGGTGTGTCAAAAAACCCCAATAAAACTAAGCATGGTGGCACAAGCCTGTAACTCCAGCACCTAGGAGGCTGAGGCAGAAGGATAGCAAATTTAAGCCCTGGGCAGTTTAGCAACTTAATAAGACTCTGTCTCAAAAAAAAAAGAATTTAAAGGGCTGGGGATGTAGCTCAGTACAAAAGCCCTAGGTTTAATTCCCAATACCACCAAAAAAAAAAAAAAAAAAAAATCCCAGTAAGCATTAAGGAAATTCCATTTATGGATTTAAGTCTCCAAAGTTAAGAAGTTTCTTAAGGCCAATTAGTAAGCACTGTTGTCATTCAGTGTTTCCTCTTCTGGACAATAAGATTCAAAATTACGTATGCTGGGCATGGTGGCACACGCCTGTAATCCCATCACTCAGGAGGCTGAGGCAAGAAGACTGCTGCAAGTTCAAGGCCAGCCTGAACCATACAGTGTCACCCTGTCTCAAAAAAACATAAACAAAAAATTTTAGAAACCATATTAAAAAGGCGGGGCAAGATGGTGCATACCTATAATCCCAGCACTTGGAAATCTGAAGCAGGAGGATTGCCATGATTTTTAAGCCAACATTGGCTACATAGTAAGTTCAAGGCCAACCTGAACTACACAGTGAGACCTTGTCTCAAAAAAACAAAAAAAAAATTTCGTATGACTAGACTGGTACTGAAGGAAAAGGTTGAAAACATAAACCTCTTAGGAAAAAAATATCGAAGTCTCTATGTCCTAGTGCCTATTAGAACCTGCATAAAGAGGCAGATTGCTCAGTAAATTTTTATTCAATTAATTAATGATAAAAAATGAAAAGAGCTGATTGTGGTGGCACACACCTATAATCTCAGCACTCAGGATGCTGAAGGAGAAGGACTGCCGTGAGTTGGAGGCCAGCCTGAGCTACACAGTGAGACCCTGTTTCAAAAAAAAAAGATAAGCTCTTAGGCAAAAACTACCCAGAAATAAAATAGAGTAGGCATATTCTCCAACTGACAAAAAAAGATTCAAGAAGAGTGGCTAGAGGGGTCTGGAAAGGTTCTTCATTCTTAGAAGGACATGGGAAACCTGCTTCTCTCTCCTACAGGACATGAGTGAGGATGCTGCCCTGGTTGCTACTGCCTGCTATTTTGCAACCACTAAATAAGCTGGCACTGTGGACAGCAAAAAAGAAGGCCACGCTTCCCATCCTCCTAGCCAGTGATGAACTTGTGATCCCTGTATCCCTGGTTTTCTAGTTATGTTAGCCAATAAATTATTTTTATTAAAGTTAGTCTGGGCTCTTATTTGTACCCCAAAGTCTGCTAACTAATACATATCTGGAAAACAATGAACAGAAAATATTTTTAAAAATAAAACATGTGAAGATCATATTGAAGATGATGATAACAAAATGCCATTATTTAATTTTGTAGCCTTGACAGAATCTAATCTCAAAAAGGCAGCAAAATCAATCACTGCAATAAAAGAATATAGATTTTCTGTGCAACTAGTATAGTATTGAGTGTATATCAAATAATTCAGATGTATTTTCTTTTTTTTTTGCAGTACCAGGGATTGAACTCATGACCTTGCGCTTGCCAGGCAGGTGCTTATGCCACTGAGCTATATCCCCAGTCCTTCAGATGTGTTTTCTATAGAAAGAGTTATTCAGCTTTCACTGGATAGAATGAGCAGAACAGACGCTACAGAAGAAATTAGTAATGGATTTGAAGGCACAGCAATAAAATATCCAGAATGAAATATGTAAGAAAAAAGGGCCAGGGGGAAAAGAAGGAATAGAATATCAGTGAGTGAGGGAAATGGTCACACACATGTAGTTAGAGACCCCCGATGAGAAGTAGGGGAGGACAGAAAACTGTACGAAGAGGTAAAGGTCAAAAACCTCCCAAATTTAATTAAAAAGCTTAAATTCATATATTCAAGAACCCAAAGGCTCATCTTATTCCTCTTTCTACCCCAGTGCTTAACACAGCATCATGCACAACAAGCTCTCAGCAAATGTTTGCTTTCAGACAAGAATCATGAATCACGTAGAAAATGACAACAAGGCTCAAACTTTCGATCCTCCTGCCTCTGCCTCCCAGAGTGCCAGGATATGTTACCATAGCCAACTGCTGTTAGGTTCCTATATTATCCATGAAGAGGTAGACTGCAATAAATTAAAGATGAATACTACAAACCATAAAACAGCCACTTTAAAAAAATACTATATCTAATAAGCCAATAAGAAACAAAATGCAGTCATAAAAAATGTACTCAAAAGCCAGGTGTGGTGGCGCACACCTGCAATCCCAGCACTTGGGCGGCTTAGCCAGGAAGATTTCCATATGTTTGAGCAATTCAAAGGCCAGCCTGATTTACACAGTAAGACCCTGTCTCAAAGAGTACTCAAAGTGGGTTTAAGATCTTCCTTACGTAATGCACAGCACATAACTTTACTAACAAAATCCCCCAAAAGGGTCAAAGGTAATAGCGTGTTAAACAGCTTATCAAATTGCTTATGACTTCAGTAGCAAAACTGATCGAAGTGATCAAAAGCTGACTCACCTTTCATATAGCCTATCTCTTGGTAATGAAGCACCCCAATGTCGAAAGTCCATGATTAACATAAGTAAAAGGAGACAGGATATGAAGAAGACTCCCAGGAATGCCACCCGCTGCCGGAGAAATGGGCTCACTGTGGGAACAGTGAAGTACCAGGAGGCTGGGCAGAGGTAGGAAAAACTGATCCTGAAACGAGACAAAAATTAGTTAAGTGTAAGGTTGAGTGCTTAAAAATCGTCTTCAAATTGGACTGAAACTCTCATATAAAGGCACAAATCCATTGCGAACAGAAATCTAAATGCTCTTTTAGTCTCAAATTTTAGAAAAGGCTATCAGTTCTTCTTTCAAACACTGCACTTTTGAGTGCAATTCACAGAATTTTATGCTAATGAAAAGATTACCAGTCTCCTGGGCCCAAAATGCAGAGCAACTACAACATTCTTACCAGGCATGCTGTCAAGAAACTGGACAGTCAGAAAAGTTCAACTGATTTTTTAAATGTTTTAATATGTTACATATGCACGTGATTAAAAACAAAAATCAACTCAAAAGAATATAGTGAAACGTAAATTTTCGCCCCACCCCACGACCTCTTAAGAGGCAATCATTGCTCTCAGTTTCGATGCACTTTCCCAGGGATATTCTGTGAATACACAGGCATAAATACATAGCAATATATACGGTAATGCATCTCAGTGTAACGCCATTCCCTTGGATGTACACAAATATACCACATCTATTGTTCCGCATCTTTCCCCCAACTTATTCTATTTTCCAACTATCACCATATTGGGACATGTAGATCCACACTAATGCTTTTTAAAAGCTTCAGAGTAGTACAGTGTATGGATAAGTGTACTCAGCTCTGAAGTTTACTTTCTGTATTGAATTAAGCAGACCTCTAGACCTATTTGCTTTCAAGGAAAAAAAAAGACACCTCTTTGTTTTGACTTCCCCAAAGGGTACCTAGCTGCCTTCAGATGAAAATCTGAAAAAATATTACATGCTAGCAATTCTCAGACTCGAGCAAGCCCACCCTCCACGACCCGGGGTTATGGCTGGAAACTGCTACTGCACCTGCCTTACAAGAACAACTCTGACCATCTCTGCATACACCTGACCAGGGTACAGTGACCAGGCGCAGCCTCAGGGCAAGCCTGACTGGCAACCTCCCAAGCCCCGCAAGCCTGCCGCCGTCGAGGCAGCCAGCCCCCTGCAGAGAGGAAGGTGTGCAGTCTTACCTAGCCATGAGTTCCCTTCGGCGGCCTCAACGTTCGTCACCTCCTTCTCCTTCTGCCCTGAGAAGCTGGCCTCCTTGTCCCAGGCATCTCCTAAATCTGCCCACCTGGAAAGAGTTGGCTGTGTTTCAGGACTCCAACACCAACCGCGAGACGAACACACAGGGGTCTGCCATGTCTCTCAGCCAGGCTCAGGGCTCTTCCGTGTCCATCCGCTCTGGTCTTCAGGCCCAGCGGACCCTCCCCAGCATCCCGGGAGCGGTGCTTCCCCGTAAGCCAGCTGCGTCCTCGCGGGAACCCGCCGTCCCAGGTGGTGGGGGTCCCACTTCTGCTCCCAGTCCCTCCCGGCCCCGGGCTCTCTCGCTCGCCCACTCAGGGGACTGAGATGCTGCCAGTCCCTCAGTCCCGCGGCCTTCAGCCCAGCCGGAAGAAGGGTCGGACCCACGGCGGCGCCACGTCCCCAAGGAAACCGCAGGGAGCCAATGACTGACAGGGACCTGATAGAGGGCCCGCCCCTCGCGCCGCCGCAGCTTCAGGATGACCAATCCCCGAGAGCGTTGGCCTACAATTCCCGCCCCGGCACTGCCAATCGTGTCCAATCGGAAGGGTGTATGCCGAGACTCCGCCTGGAGAGGCGGGAGATTGGCACACTGGTGAAAGGGCCCAGACTCTCGGTCTGGGTCTGGTGCTGTCCAGGTGGCACTAATTCTCGGCGGAAATCTTTTTCCAGGACCGCTCCCAGAACGGAGAGACTCCGGTCGGTGGATCTCGAGGTGTTCGCTACAGAAGTATAACCTTTGCCGGCAACCTTGTGGAGATTTCATGTCCACCGGTCTTTCCCGCCGGAATGGCAGTTCTCCCCCTTTAAACCGTCCTATCGCTTCCCAAACTGCTGTCCCGGTTCTACCGTCTTGTTCCGTATGAAAAGCATAAATTACAGACAATGATATCTACACCAGAGTGCCTAACTTCATGCATTCAGCGTTTATTGACTGTTAGAATATGTCAAACACTGAGCTTCTGTGTCAGCGCCCTCCCGGACCTCGCCGTGAGCCATACAAAGGCAGCCCCTTTATGGCTTTTTTGTTTTTCCGGTACCGGGAATCGAAATCACGACCTCACGCTTGCCAGGCAGGCGCTGTGCCGCTGAGCTAAATCCCCAGCCCAGCCCCTCTATGTTTTGATTCTTCTTGCCTACACCAGCCCGCGCTCTGAAGTCCGAGGAGTCCCTGCACATCATAAAACCTAAGCTTTTCCTAACTGGTCACATCCATCCTTGTCCACGACCTGCCAACACTGCATTTTCTGCAGCACCCCTCCTCCGGGCAATGCAGCCTTGATATTTCTGGCTTCTTAGGCTTTGCTCCTTCTGCCCCGCCCCCACTAGCCTTGAATTACCTTCCTTGCCTCTTGGTCAATTTTTGCTCATCCCTTACAGTTTGGCCTAAGGGTCCTCTTCCCCTGAAAGCCTTACTGACCTACAGACCTACACCTTCTTTATACATGTCTACTGTTTCACTTACGACTTTGAATATGCTTGAAGGCTTCCACTTATTACTCAACGGCCCTGTCTGGCACATACACCTTGACTGCTGTATGATAAATAAATGAATGTGGGAAAAGTGAAGACCACTTATATGAGAACAAAGAGGCTACTTTATTGAAAGCTGGCTATAACCGAGGACAGTCACTGTTACCTGCACTTAGCACAAAGTTAAAGGCTGTCAGAAGAATGGGAAAGCTTAATATGCAAGGAAAAAGGGAAGAGGGCTCGCTTATACCCAGACTTAGGGCTATTAACGTGGGAAAGCTGGAAGCCGGCTAAGTAGAAGCAGGGCATTTTATGTGGTTGGTTTGGGACAGCATATGCTGTGGCCTCTAGTTGGTCCTGAATTTGAGGATAGATAGGCAAACAGAGGGCAGTTGGCAATCGCTGATAAGTGCTGACTCTTCTGGGGTGATTGCTGAGAGCCTGTGAGTAGAGTTCTAATTGCTTGGCATTGTCCAATTGATATATTCAGTCTCTTATGACTCTTTTTTTCCCTCCACACTTTCGAAACCTGGTTAGCTTTCTAACATGTTCTTTCTCCTTCAGTTCTCATTTCTCAGATTTCTTCTCTGTCCCTCAATCCCTAGGTTGCTTCAACTATTAAATTTTATCCGGGCCTCAGAAAACACAAGTAAAATATTTGCATAAAGTTGGGATTAACCACAATACTGTACAAGTATCAGCCATTTTATTCATTCTAGAGCCCAACTCAGTGCCTGAAATCAGGTAGGCATAGAAAGAACTCAATAAATGTTATGAAATAATTTTTTGAAATGTATTGAAGTTGTGTTCTTGAGTTTTAAGAATGATCTATATAGATACTCAAAAGTACAATGAAAAATTCTCTAAAAGTAGAAGATATAAATAACTACTATCAGCCGGGCATGGTGGCACATGCCTGTAATCCCAGCACTCAGGAGGCTGAGGCAGGAGTGTTACAGGCAGCTGAGTTAGATAGAAATATTATAGGCAGTCAGACAGGACCAGGCTCTCGAAGGAGCCAACATGAAAGATATGTATCTGCTTCAGGCCAGACCTCAAGACAAAGGACTAAACAAATGCACCCACATACCTCCATAGGGATGGACATCAGGGATTGATATTCTAAACTGGTAGTGAGCACCTCGAAGAGTCCCTAACCCAACCCCTTACAGGAAAAGCCCCTTCTCTGTATTCATGCCCGCCTGCTATGGGACTGGCTTCCCCATTTGATCCCAATTTAATCAATTTTACCTAAACAATTCTTATTGGCCGACCATAGTTTTGTCCATCTTTCCCCTACCTTGGACCCACCTCACCTAGTGGTTTTTCTCTATAAAAGTCCCTAAAAAAGACAGAGTCTTGGGGTACCCCACTCGGGTCCCCCTCCTGTCCCTCTCTTGGACAGAAGCTTTCTTTCCCTCAATAAAATATACTCTCCTCTTAACCTCCGTTGTTCCTAAAATTAATTCTTCAGTTTTAGAGAACACGAACTCATCCCAGATATCATTCAGGTTGGGAGTTTTTATTTGCCTGTATCAGGAGGATCATTGCAAGTTTGAGACCAGCCTGGGCTACAAAGTGAGCTCAAGGCCAGCCAGAACTACATAATGAAATCCTGCCTCAAAAAAATAAATAAATAAATACCGTCATAAAGCAGAAAAAAAACAACTACATTTAACCTCAAGACTCTTATTACACTTCCTTTTCTTTGACTGTTTGGTTTGGACAATACATACTTCCTTTAATAGTTCCACATACCCTAGGCCTTTGTTAAGTACAACTCTTTACAAAAACCTGCAATGTTTATCTGGTTACCCGTACACCTGGCTGAGTTCTGAGGTTTCCAGTCAGCAGGCCAAATTAAAAAAGGGTTGATACCATCTCTATTCATTTGCTGTAACTCAACATGTTGAAACAAATTACAGAAACCCATATTTCAAAACAGGTTTTTAACTTCTCTTTAAAAGCTTATCTACAATTACATTTAAAATTTTCTCAAGATCCCCTTGATGCTCAGCCCTGAGCTAACTCAGCCAAACCCATCTCATACTACATGTCAGTAGCTTGCCTGGTGTCTGTTGTTCCCTTTGCCTTTACCAGTTTTCCTTCCTTCCACACTCCACCTAGTTCTAACCTCTAAAAGTCAGTAATGTGTTCACACTCCATGTTTACTCTTCTCTCCTCATGTGTCTTTTTTTTTTTTTTTTTTTTTTTTGGTCTTTTTGAGACAGGGTCTTGCTATGCAGTTCAGACTGGCTTTGAGCTCACTTTGTAGCCCAGGTTGGTCTCGAACTTGCCATGATCCTCCTGCCTCAGCCTCCCAAGTGCTGGGATCACAGGTGTGCACCACCACACCCGGCCTCTTCAGGTGTCTTTAAGGCACATCACTGTTCAAAACCAAACTTACTAATTTTCCCCTCTTATTGTGTTCACCCAAACCTCCTTCATCTATGTCCCCATCTTTAACAAAATACCCTGTGATTCATTCACCCAACCAGGAACCTGCATGACAATCATTCTAGAATCTCTTCCCTATACTTTCTAAAATCTTAAAATATCTTCAAATAAACCCTTCCAGCTGATAGCCCTACCTAAAGACTGCTGCCCCTCCTGGGGGCCTCTCCATTCTGACATTACTGTGAAGTCTAATCTTGCTACTTACTGACTTAAAATCCTTGAGTGATTCCTTATTCCAATAGAATATAGTCCAAATCTATTAGCCTGGTGTGGTAGATTTTGCTGCCTACCTGTCCTAAAGGCTAATACTCTCTCTTTTACCTTATTACTTGTAGAGTAACCACATTCCTATGTTTGTCTGTGTGTTTCAAGAGTTCTAGGCTCCAACTCTAGCTCTATGGCCTAAGCTGTAATCGGTTTAAGATGGTGGATCTGATCCCTCACCAAATATTAGTTTAAACATGGGCATATGATAGAATTTTAGCTAATGGTATTGAAGCTGTGGGGGTGTCTTGGTTACTTTTTTTCTCGCTGCTGGGACAAAATACCTGACGCCCAAAATTATGGAAGGAAAGGTTTATTTCGCTTACAGTTCGTGGAGGTTTCAGTCCGTACTTGGCAGATTACAAGGCAGAGTGGCACATGGTAGAGAGCTACAGCTCACGGCGGCAGAACACAGCAAAAGCAGCAAGCACACACCAGGGCGGAATGGCCTCAAGCACTCTTTTCCTCTCCCTTACATATGCAAACTATCCACCCCAGGGTGGGCGTAGCTCTCACACCCATAATTAAACTCCAAAAGCCTGACCCATGGCCGCATGAGGCTTTGGGGGGACACCCACAAACAAACCATAACAGGGGGCCACGGCGGAGAGGAAGCTCCCTATGGAAAATCATGAGTTCTAGCCCAGTCAGGGGAACTTAGCAAGACCCTGTATAAAAAAATTTTAAAAGAAAAGAAAAAAGCTATAACTAGAGCTCAGTGCAAAGTCCCTGACTTCAGTCCCCAGTACTGGAAAGAAATAGTTTTTCAGAATGTAAAATAAAGAAGACAAAGCTTCTTTTCTTCCTTCTTGATGTAATCTTAAGTATATGATGCCTGGAATCGCTACAGCCACCTTTCAATCTTGAGGAAACAAGTCTGGGAATAACAGAATTAAGCTATTTTACAGAAAACAAAAACTAGGTCCTTGATAACATCATGGACTGAAATAGCAAACACTAATATTTGATAATACACTATGTTGGTGAAGAAGGAGCAAAAGGATTTCACTCTTCCAGATGCTGAGGCTCAGAACTTTGGGGTCACCCTTAATTTTTGTCTTTTTCTCATGTCCCACATCTATTTCATTATAAAAGTCCACTGGCACTACCTTAAACATATATCCAAGCCATGCCTGGTGGTGCATACCTGTAATCCCAGCACTCGGTAGGCTGAGGCAGGAGGAGCACCGAGAGTC